GATAGGTGAGCTATCTAGCTAGCTAGCTAGCCACTTAGCCAACTGGGTCGCCAGCTAGCTGGCTGGCTAGCTTGATAATTTTTTAAGATTGAGTTTTCTTCCGTTTGTTCTTCTCTTGGTTTGTGAGCATCTGAATAGCTAGCCATAAGGCTAGATAGCCAGCTAGCCGCACAGCTAGCTGGCTCTCTGGTTGGCTAGCTAGCTGGCTAGCTAGCTAGCCGATGGCCAGCTGGACAGCTAGCCAGCTAGCTAGCTAGCTAGCTAGCTGGCTAGCTGGCTAGCTGGCTAGCTAGCCGGATAGCTAGCTAGCTAGCTTACTACGTACAACCTTTCCTTCCATTTGCCTGGGTCTTTCAAGATTTGCGCGAAACTTGTGTTTGCGCTATTTATCGAATTATGGGTTTCATTTTGATTTATTTTGTCTTATTTTGTTTTATTTTAATTTATTTTAATTTATTTTAATTCATTTTAATTAAATTTTATCAATTTAAACTCATTTTGATTTATTTCAATCTCGTTTTTGTGTAAACTCCGAAGTTCACATTTTCGTTGCAGCGGGTGAGCTGCTGCGCGCTCCCCACAACCAGCAGAGTGGCTGCGCGAATTTTCTCCTTTTTGAGGCTTTTTATTCTTTTAAAAGAATAAGATATTTAAATTTAATAAAATGAAATTAAAATTACGATTTAAAATAGCAGTTTGGAGCGTACGTACACCGAAGCAGCTCGCAGTCCGCCCGCCGTGGCCCCACAGCCAAACAGAAGTTATGCAAACTCCTGGATGGAAAGTAGCTAATTACTGGTTTATTTATTTATTTATTTATTTATTATTTTATTTTATTTCATTTATTTATTTATTTTATTTTTAATTTTCTGCCTTTTTCTCGCCTCCTGCTCGCTTAGCAGCTCCACGAGTCCTTGCCTCAGCAGGACTTTAGTGCACGCACCACCCCTCAAAACCTAAACCCTAAACCCTAAACCCTAAACCCTAAACCCTAAAGCTTCAGCTGCGCTCAACGCAGCTTTGAGGAAGAGGACACAGAGCCTAGGGTTTCTTAATCCGAGAGAAAAAGTAAAGGAGGGTGTTGTGTCTAAATATGTACAGACACTGGATATGCTAATTTAGGGTTTAGGGTTTAGGGTTTAGGGTTTAGGGTTTAGGGTTTAGGGTTTGCGGCTGGCTAACGCAGCAACAGAGAACTCGAAAAGCCTCCAATAAAAGTTCTGGAATTAAAAGATGCTTCTCTGCATGCAGCTGTAGATACACCCGAACTTCTTCAGCAGCAGCATGAACTCGCTGCAGCATATCGGCAGCATTTCGCTGCCTGGCTGCGTCTTTGCCCAGTGCAGCAGCAGCAGCAGCAGCAGCGGCGGCGATCGTTTGTGGCTGCTGTGCGCTGACGGTAGCATTTATATCTTTGAGAACGAGCTACTGCAGCAGCAGCAGAAGCAGCAACGGCAGCTGCAGCAGCAGCTGCGGGCAGTGGACGTGCAGCAGCTGCTGCCTCCTGGCGATAGGGTAGTGGCTCTGGCTCCAGCAGCAGCAGCAGCAGCAGCAGAAGCAACACCTGCTGCTGCTGCTGCGGATTCTCTGGCTGTGGGAACAGTCAAGGGCTCTGTGCTGCTGCTGCAGCCGCAGCAGCAGCAGCAACAGCAGCCCGCAACGCGGCAGCCGCAGCAGACGAGGTGTACCTACACCGCAGAGAGCTGGGCTGCTGCTGCTGCTGCTGCTGCTGCGCATGCAGCCCCAATTGACGCCTTGGCTTGGTCTTCAGATTTGCTGCTGCTGGCATCAGCAGCAGCAGACGGCTCCGTTGCTCTTTGGTGAGCAGCTAGCTGCGCCTACACCCGATGGCTAGCTAGCTAGCTAGCTAGCTAGATAGATAGAAAGCTAGCTATCTAGCTAGCTATCTAGCTAGCTAGCTAGCTGGTTACTTAGCTAGCTGGCTACTTAGCTAGCTGGTTACTTAGCTAGCTGGTTACTCCGCTAGCTAGCTTGCTCTCTAGCTATCCTCCTGAACAGCTATTTGTCGGGCTAGCTAGCTAGCTAGCTAGCTAGCTAGCTAGCTAGCTGGCTAGACCATTTACATATCTTTTTATCTGTATCAATTTAGCTAGCCTGCTAGCTAACCGCCTGTGAGTGGCTAGCTAGCCAACTACGTAGCTAGCTAGCCATCCAGCTAGCTAGCTAGCCCGACAAGCAGTTAGCTTGCAAGCCAGCCAGCTAGCTAGCAGCAGATCGGCGAGATGTGGTAGTGCTACCCATGGGCCTAGCCATTTAGCTAGCCACCTGGCTATCTAGCTAGCTAACAAGCTAGCTAGGCGGCTCAGTATAAATCTCCCACGCTTTCAGCTAGCTGCCAGCTAGCTAGCTAGCTAGCTAGCTGGCCAGCTAGCTAGCCAGCTACTCACGGTTCCAGCAGCTTGGCAAGCTAGCTAGCCAGCTCGCCAGCGAGTTCTATAGTTCGCTAGCTAGCTGCTAGCTAGCTCGCCAGCTAGGTGGC